AATACACTTATTGGGATAGCAGCGGCTTCAAACCGGAAGCCACCATATCTTCTTGGTTGTTGTTCGATTTTTTTGTTGTTACCTTAGTACTATCCTCTGGTTTCCTCTTACTACTACCTTCGTGATGCCCGTTCAGTCCAGGAGTAGTGTGTAGGGAGGCGGACCTTTTTGATGTTGACCCTGTTCTTCTTTTCCATGGTGGTGGTCTGTTTCTAGAGTTTTTCCCCGACTCATGAATCCCAGAATTGTTCGAAGTACCAAGACTGAACACCGTTGGACTCACGAGGTTCAGGGGGGAAGTGAAGCTGGAGTCATCCAATACATCTTTCCCCTCATCCAAGGGATAAGATGGGAATGGAGCTGAGGCAGTGGGTCTACGTCCCAGATTTATCTCTTTTAATCGTTCGCTTCCACCGTCATAGGCAAAGACTATACCTTTACCTTTATTCACATCTAAGGTAAATTTAGGCATAAGCACAGTCTGATCAGCCTGTTTCTCCACGATCGATTGTTGAACCCTTTGTATGCGTGCCCGTCGCTCAGTTTCATTGGAGTGCGAAACATAGACCATGGCCATTTGTCTATCTTCTTTCGACAACTCAGGAAAAAGAGGAGGGAATCTAAGAGGACCATCCAAGAGACCACTTGCTGGTTCCTCAATCGCTATCCCCTTGCTATGAGACGGTTGACCATTGTCCTTGGTTGGAAGAGAGGCACCTCTAGTGAGGTTAGGGGATTTCTTAAGGAAGGGGCACAAGACTTTCTCTTGGGTAAGGTGAAGACAATGGAAGCATTTTTTCCGGAGTTTCTCATACTCGTATTCAATCAGGATGGAGCCTCCTCCCCTTGGCAGGTTCATTATCTTCTCTTCTCGTGCAGGTTTGGTTATATCAAAGTGAATCCTTGCTCTGACATAATCCATCTTCTGCGATGCTTTCGGGTCATACGCAATTTATTCTACCTTCCTTATGGCTTTACCACACACCATCATTGTGTCCGCCGTGTAGTAATTGTACGGGATATTTCGAATGCGGATCCAAACATCAAAGCTGGTAAGGAAGTTCACAGATGGTGTCTCCGTCCACCTCTCTAATATCATCGTCCAGTGGTTAAAGGACCAAGGACAGTCTTTGAGGACTGTTTTTATGTCCTCCTCCCTTTGGAATATGAACTGGAACTTATCACGTGAAATAGCTCTTCCTTGGACTCTCTCATACACTCTCCACTGCCTTGGTATATCTTCAATCATCCGTGACATTGATTGGCAATCTGGATTCAGAAGCCTTCCAAGCAGGCTCAGTGAGTTTTCTTCAAACACAGTGAATTTCGGATCGTCTGAAAGGTTGATTGGCTCATCATCTTCTAGCGACATTGATTTCAAGGCTTTGTGTAGAAATTCAGACATGGAGGACACCGGAAAATAGCCACTAGACAGTCTTCTTCGCCGCACCAAACACTGTTGGGGGAGTAGATCAATCACGATTGACGCACAATCACCATTCAATAAGCAATATTCGGATACATTTGTTTGGAAAATCATATCTTTTGTGTAGCGCGGTAATCACGGCTGGAAGAGATATGAGAAGTTTTCTGGTTTCAGTAAAGGAAGGAAGATAAGCAACTTTCTAAAAATACCGCAGCAATTAAGCCGGTGAATATAGATCTACTCAATTGTGAGAGAGGAAGACAGAAAAGGAAACCGAGCAGACCCTCTAAAAGGATTAGAGAGTCCTGAGCGAAGAAAGACCAAACTTTCAAACGATCCACCACATTTTTTTTAGCATTTACTTATTTAATTAATTTTGTTTCTTTCTTATTACTATTTTTTTTTGTATAGGCAGGAGATGAAAGTCTCCCGCATTTTATTCCAACAAGGTAAATCGAATTACACCCGCATTTTATTCCCGCATTTTATTTCAAACGATCCACCACATTTTTTTTAGCATTTACTTATTTAATTAATTTTGTTTCTTTCTTATTACTATTTTTTTTTGTATAGGCAGGAGATGAAAGTCTCCCGCATTTTATTCCAACAAGGTAAATCGAATTATACCCGCACATATTTAGATCGAGTAGACCAATTCACATCCTCCGACAAGATCGAAGCAACACTATCTGGTTCAAAATCAAAGAAATGAAACCCTAAAGGTAAAAAAAAACACATGGTTAGCTAATCTATCAGCTAGAAGATTATATGCATAATGAATCAGACTAACTAGTCTCTTGAAATAAAGCAATAGCACATGCTAAGTAGGAAGTACATACGATCTGAACCACTTATCCATATCTGTATAATACTACTATTCTTAATTATACCCAAACACTCTTATAACCAAATACTATTCTAGGCAATAACTAATCATTTTGCTACAAAAACACATTTAATATCAATAATTAAAAAATAAAACAAATATATATTATTTTCATATATTATTATATAATATTATATATTTTCTTATCTATATTTTAAATATTTTTTTGAATATAACATAATTAGTAACTAATATAGTTTACGAATATACGAATTCAATATTGACAAATATTATATAATTTGGCAAACATATTTTAATTTACTAAGAACAGATATATAGATTTAATTAAAATAAAATGATTTAATTCTATGCATACTAGGAGATACCAACCTAGTAGTAATGAATTAGAAGCAGAAAAAAATAGGTGCATAAAGAGTAAAATAATTCATCAATGCTAACCGTTATCTTTACTTTCTTAGAACACATAAATAGGTTTAATTAAAATAAAACTATTTAATTATGTGCATATTATGAGGTACCAACCTAGTATAAATGAATTAGAAGTAGAAAAATAGGTGAATACGAGAAGAGTAAAATAGTTTGTCAATCCTAACCGTTATTTTTCCTTTCTTAAAACGAAAATTTAAAGTACAAACAACCAAAACAGATGGTGTCTTCGTAATCACTATATTTATTTTTGAGTAATACTACTGAATGGCAAAGAACTGTTATAAAATTAAGGAAACAGAAATACTTATTTATAGGTCTAAGCAGACAAATATTTCACCACAAATGTTGTCGAGTTTAAACCCACATGCTTAATTTGCTTCTTCAAAATATTTTTATTATTTTAATAGTTTCAAAAGAATGAGAAAATGTTTGCATGTATGAATCACCCAATATTTTACTGTTCTGACATAATTTTATTTGGGTCATGCATGAATGTCTTTTGCTGTCGTAAAATTCACCTTCCATAGTTAATCGCCACCAACTACATATTTTTTCACTAGATTGAAATATATCATTTTGCTTTCACAAGATTGTGATATGCCGTCCTCATCTGTCATCCAATTTTGTTCTCTGATTCACTATTCTACCACTATATGAAACTTCCTTCGCCGGATTCCGATATGCCGTTCTCCTCCGGTGTCCAATTCGTCTTTTTGATTTACTACTATGTCACTAACTATGACTTCCTTTGCCACCACATGCGTTTTTCTTCGCCATATTCACCAGATTACGTAATTATTTTATAACACAATATTATACTATAAATAAACATGTATACATATATATTTTATTAGACATATATGTATATACAAAACTGTTTTATAATTCAATATCACTCTACAAATATATTGTAATAGACATCAACATATATGTACAAATATAGAGAGATAATATTTTATTTAGAAATCTACAAATTAAATTGTAAAACTAATTTATATAACCATAATACGATATAGAAATATATACATACATATCATATACACGAAAATACCTGAATAAAAATATACACATACACATCTTATTATGGATGTATATATATAAATATATAATTTGCGTTTAATTTTTCATATAATACTACATAAATTGTGGATATACGTATCATATTCTAGATATATATATAATATGAATTGCACATCTAATACTATATAAAAATATACACATATATATCATATTTTAGATATATATATATATATATATATATGTAATTATAAAATTTTGTTAGGTTTCTATATATATAATTATTTAAGTTTTGTTAGGTTTCTCATCGTTACGAAAGTATGCTATCAAATGTCATCTATTTTTTTTTTGAACATATTGATTTTGTTAAATAACATCTAATATCTCTCCTTCTCATGCTTATGTCACAACAAACTATCAAATGATGGACACTGCATTAAGAACACTCACCTATGTCTAACTCACACGTAAGTAGATGACAAACCTTGTAATATCTATTATGAAATTAGAAATTAAGTAACTTTTTACCAAAAAAATCTATTATGAAATTAAGTAACTTTTTGTTAGCTCCTTATAACATACCTTCTCATTATTCATCTCTTCATTTTTTTTCCAAACGTTGTCATCCACTAATTTCACCTTATATATTTTCTTTTGAAAAACAAAAAAAACGAACGGAATTCATAATAATTGTATACAATAATGAATGTGCAGATATTTACAAAAACTTGTTAGTTTGTATAAGCACAAAAGATAAGATGATCCAATTAGCTCATTAAAAAAAAAAAATTAAATCTGATAAAAAATAATATAAATTATAGTTAGCTAGATTTAGTGGGTTAACAGGAGAAATTGTTTTCTTTGAAATAGATATTTTACAGCGGCATTACACATGTGACTTTGATTTTGATAGGTCACATTGTAAATGTTCTAAATAATTTTTATTAAAAAAATTTAAATCTTAATCCAAAAAAATTCACTCGTTCAAAATTTCGTTCTAACAATAATTTTTGATAAATTAGTAAAAAAAGATTTATATAGGAAAAAATATACAAGAATGTATTTGGGATAATTCAATGTTTATAATTGTTTTTAAACGTTATGGTTTATTAAGTTCTTATTTTTTTTCATTTGTAACTGATCTTGTAAATATCATTCCTATTTTTTTATATGATTTTAATTTTCTTTTTTTAAGCATCTATTTAGATTTTTTTCCATTTTAAAGTTCTTGTATTTTCTTATAAATATGCTATTATTTACATGCAAATTGCCATTACACTCATTTCTTTCATTGCACTCATTGCTTTGTACTTCGAAATTTTCATTTCATTTATATCATATCAAAATGACTAAAGCCATCATTCTTGTTACCTTCATGATCATACTCGTTCTAGGTTATAATTCTCTAACCATATTTTAAAACTATCATTTTAAAAGACGAATTAACATTTCATAGATCTCTTTTTCTTCTCTTCAATTTTTACATTTTTCATTTTATTTCGAAGAAATATTAATATTTTAAATATTTATCAGGAATGGCGATTATAGAGACGCAAGGACAAGAAATGTGTCATGATCTTGTAATAAAAACAAACTGTGAAGATTCACCATGTATCAATCTGTGTATGCAGAAATGGAAAGGAAGCGGCACATGTTTTCAAAACCAACAAGTAAAAAGTTGCCTTTGCACTTTTCCTTGCAAGATTTGAGTTGAATTTTTTGTTATCTATAAACTATAATACTTCATAATACTAATAATGAATTGAAATAAATTTATTACCATCTTTTAAAATTTTATATGAAGTTTGATATCACTTTTAGATTTGACATGAACAATAAAATGCTATATGAGCATTTGCGCCCTAATCAAATGTGGAGAAACAGTAACGACAAATTAAAATTTATATTAAATATTAACAAAAATTACAAAGAACTTTTAAAAAATTAAAATATAATATTTGAATTTATTATGAAAATCATTTTTAATAAAAGTTGTAATAAAAATTTGTTTTAAAATTTGAGAAATCATATTTATAAAATTCTCTGGTAGCTCTCCACTCATCTTTTCGTACAATATTGAAGAATTGATTTGATGAAAAAATAAATTTCTTATGGTTGGCGTACACAAATGTGTTCATTTTCAAATTTGACCCCCCACATGCGTTTATAATAAAATTTGATTCTTAAAATTTTTTAACGACTCTGTAAAACAAAGCATGAAATTTTTATGGAAAAACAAGGCTGTAGAGATTTATTTTTATTTTTACTTCTACTTTCTATTTATATTTGTTTCATTTTATTATAATTGATTTATTCATCAGGTTATTTTTTGTCTTATTTCTGATGTCAAATTCGTGAACTATAATAAGATTGTATATGAGTATGATATATAAAAAATTATTTAAAAATCATAAGTGATAAAATAAGATGGCAATAGAAGCTAATTCAGTTTTTAAAAAGAACAGTATAAAAATGTTAAATATTGTATACAATAATAATATATCATACTCATAACATTATTATTATATAGAGTATTTACTATCTTATTGGATAATCTATTATTATTTTTATAATCATATTTTATGCAATCTATTATGAATATATATATATATATATAGATATATATAGATATAAATTGAAATAATATTAATAATCATTTTCTTTTCATTTACATTTATTAATTTTACTGTTATAATATAGTGTAATTATGTTTTAATTACATAATTTATTTAATTTTAACTCAACCAATCAAAATATTTTGTTTATTATAGAAAATTTGATTTATCACATTTCCAGGTCACCATTAAATAATACTAACTTTTCTTCTCCTTACGACACATTAACATTTTTCATTAAAAATGCTTATCAAATAATATTAAGGATTAATCGATTGACATATTTGGATATCCTACAAATGTACTTTATAATGTTATTTTTGTTTTCTTTGTTTTTTTGGGCTTTGTGTAATTGTTTTATTGATGAAAAGGTACAAATAATTATTATATGTGTTATGAGAATCGAAAATAATTTTATAAATACACGAGTTTATATTAAAGATATAATATATTACTGATTTTATATAAAACTTATGTTCTTATGTTGTAGTAGATTTTTTACAGGTTTTAATGTTTAATTGTAATTTTTTTAAACCACACTATTGTTTTTATTTAGAAATATTTATCTCTTATGATAAAAGTGTATTTAGTTTTTTAGTAAGAATATAATCTATCTATCAATTTATGTTTTTTCTCAATAAATCTTTTATTTAGTAAATGCATAAGTTATTTTCTTTCTTTTATCATTCATCTCTTTTTTTTTTCACTTCTTCTTCTTATTCATATCCTTTCCTCTTCTCATTGTTGTTGTTGTTGTTCTTCTTCTCTTTCTTCAACTTCTTTTCTTTCTTCTTCTTAATCACTTCTTCTTCTCTTTTATCTCTGTGTGAGGCGGGATTCACACAATAGAGTTTAGTTCAGAAAAATAAAAGATGGACTTGAAGATTCTATGATAAACACGAGAAACCCTATCTAAAGATGGTATATTTGTTATTGCTATTTTGTTAAGCTTTTGATAAAGTATTTTTCAGCCGTCTTTTTTACAATAGATCATGTTTCTTATTTATACATATCTCTCTACAACCTAAGCAGGAATCTCCGCGAATATAGTAATAGATTTCCTTCTATTTCTCTTTTACAAAGCCCCTTCCACAAAGCTAAGTCCTTCTAGGGAAAATCCCGCTTTTAGATGTCTTCTTGGGCTTATGACTCAACTCGTATGTTTATTGCTTCATACTGGGCCTCGTTCATCATCGCATAGGCCCATCACTTGGTTAATTTCATTGGTTCGGTTCTACCGGCTGATTCGTCCCGTATCTCTGGTTTGGCACATCTCTCTGGTTTGACAACTAAATGGTTCAGCGCATCTTTGCCGACCTCGACTCATCGGTTTGGTCTAATATGTTGATTTGGTCCACTTATCTGGTCTGGCGGAAATGAATGGTTTGATCCATTTTTTATTAACCCGAATCGTTGTTTATGCTCGGTGGTTTGCCAATTCGGCTCAGTGGTTTGCCAGTTCGGTTTGTCAGTTTGGCTTATCACATTTCCGGTTTGACTATGCTCATTTCCAAACTTAGTTTTTTTCTGTTGATCTCGTCATGGTGGAAATCGACCCCAATAATTCTTTCTTCTCCTTCTGTTTCTCCTGCTTCTTCTTCTTAATCCCTTGTTCTTCATCTTTTCTTCTTCTCTTCCTTCATTTATTTTTGTTCTTCTCCTTCTCCTTTTCATCCTTCGTTTTTCTTATTCTCCTTTCTTCTTCTCTGTTTTTCTCCTTCTCCTTAACATCATGTAATATTAACTTCATCCCAAGCGTCACTAGATCATGTGATCTCTAAGCTTTGCCTAGATATTTAAGAAGTCTTCTTCTATGTTATTCGTATTCTCCTTCATCTCTTTTTCTCCTTCTTCTCTTCCTCCTTCATGTCTTCTTCTTCTTCATCCATTCTCCTTCTTCTCCATTTTCCTTTTCCATTTTTTTTTTCATATTCTCTATTGTTTTCTTCTTTTTCATCCCTTCTTTTCCTTCTTCTTCTTCTTCATCATCACTTCTTCTCACGTTCTTCTCTTCTTCTTTTTTCTCCTTCTACTTCTCTGTTGTTATTCTTTTTCATTCACTCTTCTTCTCATCCATCACTACTCCTTATTCTCTTCCTTGTTATTTATTCTTCTTCTCCTTTTTTCTGAAACAAAAAAAATAATAAATGAAAAGTTAAAAAAAATAAACATAACAACCATATACATAGTAAACAAACTGGAAAATGTCATAATATAACATATAAGGAATTAATGTTGATTAAAAATATTGATGTTTATTTGGGAAGCTTGCTCATAATTTTACTGATCGAGTATTAATAAAATGTCATAATATTAAGTACAATCAATCAATTAGATATTTGATAGAACTAAATATCATTTAAATGATCTTTTACTGTAAATTAATCATGGTGCTTTTAAATTTTATCATGATGCTTTTAAATTTGAATTAATTTAATCGAAATTTAAATTAATATTAGATTGCACTAAAAATATAACGAATAATATATAATTATTCATAAAAATGATGTCTTAGTTTATTTTTCTACAAACATATGTGTTTGGTTATATTATTGCATAATAATTAGAATATAATTTTTGTTTTTATTGTATTTTTTGCAATATATTCTATATTATGTAAATGTATATAATTTAACTATATATATTTATAGTAATTATAATTTTTATTTTCTTATAAACATATGTGTTTAGCCTATTATATTGTCATATAATAATAAATATATGTAAATTTTTTTTATACTTTTGTAAAATATTTTATATTGTATAAATGTTTATAATTTAATCACACACACATATATATAGTAATTATAGTTGTCATTTTTCTTTATATAAACTTGGATGTAATTAATTCTAAGATTAATTAGAATTTTCAAAATAATTATTTATAAAAAATTTAAAATTATTTGAATGTGTTGGTAATTGGAGTTAAACTAATTTAAATAATATTTGAAAACTAATGTGTTTGGTCATATGTATATAGGAATTAAACAAAGAAAAAAAGAAAATAAAAATCAATTGCTTATATTAACAAATGACTAAACTATTATTAATGAGTTTCTACCATATTGACATTAACAACTCCGATGGATTGATATACCCTTAACCACTGTATTACATGGTTTAGTCAGTTTAGGTACTTTGATACCCATGATAAAAACCAGTTATCATATATCAGCACAAAGAATAAACATGTACGGAGAGAGAGGATCGCCTTGTCTTAATCCACGTCTGGAAAGATATTTCCGTGAGGGCACCCATTGATAAGAATTAAGTAACTAACATTTTTGACCGTTTCCATTATCCATCTGAACCATTGTGTATTAAAACCAAATGCACGCATATTTTCCTCTGAAAAAGCCCATTCAACTCTGTCATAAGCTTTAGTGATATCTGTCTTTACAGCCATGTAAGTTTGTGATACTCTTTTATGAGATTTTTAAAAATACATTAGTCCATGTGCTATAAGTACATTATCCAGGAACAAATGCAACCTGAGATCCAGAGACAATTTGGTTTAAAAAGGACTTTAAACATATCACAAGAATCTTGGATATAAATTTGTAAGAAACATTTCAATTTGTAAGAAACATTGCATAGGGCAATTGGTCTGGAATTAGAAAGAGTTTTTTGATTTTTGATTTTTGGGATCAGACAAATATTGGTATGGTTAAAATTTTCAGACATATGTGCAATCTCAAAGAAAATGAGAACCTCTTTTGTGACATCTTTACCAACAAAATCCCAGCATTCCTGATAGAATCGAGCCGTAAGTCCATCCGGTTTAGGGCTTTGTCTGCATTGATTGCACAAACAGCATCGTACACTTCTTGTTATGTCACGTCTCTTATAAAGTTTTGATTTATCTATGTTGTAACAGTTGGCTTGAGTCAATTAAAAATGGTAGTATATATGTGATTTTTATCACTTGTGTATATATGTTTGAAGTAAACTTCAGCATGGTTGCCATTTTCCTGATTACCATGGTAGATGTTACTATGTACATGTTTAATTGTGTGGATTCTAGAATATCATGTTTGAGTGACATCATGGTTGAAATTGGTGTTCTGATCTCCATTGTTTAATTATGAATATTGACTCTTTGTTTGCCACTAAATCTCTTCATCATGGTAATCTTTAGCCAACTCTCCTCTTAT